TCGCTCTAGCCTGCTACTCTACACAGGGGATAAGGGAAAGGGGAAAGAAAGAGGGATGAAGGGTGATGGGGACAAGAAGAGGTGGTGCGTATGTATAGTAGCCACTTAGTATTGTACCCTACAGTCTAGTTTCTAGTCCAGTGTTTTTTATAAAGTCTAGAACAGCTTTTGTAGCAGTTTTTGACACTGTTTGGTCTTCATTGCTGACAATATGTGGCTTTCACTTAATGGTGTTCGTCCAATGCTTGCCAACGTTGCAGTTAGCATTTCTCGTTGTGCCACGTATAATGCACAGTCACAAAATATGTGAGCTATTGTTTCGCGCACTTGGCAGCGTTCACAATTTGGGCTGTCCACACGGCCGATTAGGTGGCAACACACCGCCGCCTCTAAGAAAATGACTGAATCGGTCTTGAAAGGTCGGGCCCTCTTCAAACTGTGGCTGGAGCCATTTCAACTTCCTAAATCTTCTACCGCCCAGAACTGATCCCTGTCGAAATGTTGACATCCAACCTTACTTTTGAATTTGTACGAGCCAGAAGAGGCACCTCCGCATACCCTCGCATCAGCGACACTCGAAACCGAAGAGCACAAACGCGGGCAAACAGGGCAGCGAAAGCACGAGGACAATCGACGAAGAAAGCGACCGACGAGGAAGCAGAAACAAGAGACGAGGAGTACGATGATCCGAATCTGACGCCGCATCAGAGAGCGGGAAAAAAATAAAAAAACGAAAGAAAAAAAAACGGACGGCAGCAGCCGTGAAGGGAGGTAGGGAGAGCGACCACGCGGCCTTATTCCGAGTGCAACGGCCCATTCCGAAGCGAGGAGGCAGCGGCGAAACTGTTCCCCCGCGTGCCTCGATGGCCGCCGCCGCTCCGAAGGCGCGCCCCATTTTTTTCGAAGGCCCAGCATAAAACCGAACAGCGACGAAGGAGCGTTCCACATCATCCCAAGCAGGCCCGATCACCGGGGATCGCTGGTGTGGCATGAAAAAATAAATAAGGGAAACTTATCAAAGTGTAGACAGAGTGCGGAAACAAAGAAAAACTAGCGCCAATATATGTACCTCCGCAAAAAGAATGCCCCGACACGATTTCATCGCCTATTCCAGAGGATTGGAGCGAGGAGAAAGTGACGTTATGTTGAAAAGTGGAGCTATATCGGGGACTGGAGCATGGAAAAACGTAGGTGGAGGCGGCATTGCTTTCTCGAAGGAAGTTACGTGGACGGGAAAAGAACTGAAAATGTTCAACTGCCGGAACCCTCGAACGACATCCGCGCGAGACGAACACAATAGAGCGCTTTCCCAGAGTGAGGGAGGAATACGGCGGAAAGAGGCTGCGGGGGGTAGAGTGCATTTGTGTCCTGTTTCTCAATCCCACACAAACAACTAATGAAACACACACGCACGCACACACACACACACACACACACTCACACACACACACACACAGAGAGAGAGAGAGAGAGCTAGCACGTAGTATCCACATAACTGAAGCGTCCTACGACCTATTTAATAGAAATACCTATAGATACTTGTGTTAACAGGTAATGTGAGGTGTCACGGTAATATGTCAGCCACATTACCTTCTTCCTTTTTGAAGAACGTTCCAAATATGGGCGCCCCCCAATTACTCGTGCGCTTTCGAATTGCATGTACACCTTCGGCCTCTTGCGAGAGGCTGTTCCAGCAACAGCCGTTTTCATAGAAAACGGTATCCGCGGCCGACGTGGGCGGCTAAATCGGAGAGTGTCGACGCACTTGTACCTTCGATCGCCAGCAATGACCTTTCGCACCGGCGTGCCCTTTGCCTAATTACGGCGCCGTGCATCTTCCAAGAGACGGGCGAACCAGACCAGACCTATAAGGTTCGAACCCTGTCCGTGCGTGGGCCGGTGGTATACCGCGCGGTCCCACACAACTCTCGAGACCTGTCAACTGTGCGCACAACTACAGGACAACTGCAGCTGCCCACGGTATACCGCGCAAGCTATTTGGAGGGAGAATACGCCAACGCACTCGCGCTTCCGCCCACGTGATTAACAAGCTCGCATTACCTGACCATCGTACGTGAAGCGCGCATCCAATTCGCACGGAAACACGCACTAGTCGAAAATTGCGAAAAAAGGAACAAACATTCCTTCGTAATTACACCAACTTTCTTTCCATTATTAATATATTTTTATAATGATAAACATAGCGTTGATCTTCGAGTGAAACTGATAGAGCGTAACGAAAAACGGACGACTATAAAGGCACACGAGACACCGTAACTTAATGGTATTGACGTTTGTAGTTCAGTGCATTGAGTTTCCTGTAATATTTACAAGAGGGGACTCTGGTGCTGCGATCATTGAGCCACCACTCGAATGATGAGTAGTCCACGGATTTGCCTAATCTTCATGCTTCCGGCTTCGAGCACACTTATTCATTTATTTATTGTTGTCTATCGACGTTTCTTTCAGTAAAAAGAAAGAATCTTCGAGAACTTCGTGACCAGATTTGAATTGGTTAGTTGAAAAAAGTTAAAGGAGCGGTGACATAAACTTGACGCATGTCCCGTTTTCGGCATCAACTCGTAGTTATCGGTCCCCTAGTAACGGTTCGGTGCTGATAATGCAACAGAGGGACGAATTAATATATGTAATATCGATTAGTATGACCAGTAACGAACCCATTTCAAAACGGGTGCAAAGCCCGCCAAGTTTCAACGCCACCAGCGCTGTCAAAGTGGTTCCCTCCCGCAATCAAGCCTTATCTGATCACATGGCCACACGAAATGGTGACGCGAGTTTGAGAGTTGACATTTCGTCTGCTCGGCGCGCCACCCCCACCATCGTCACCGCTGCCACTAGAATTGATTGATATATGGGGTTAACGTCCCGAAACCACTCTATGATTATGAGAGACGCCGTAGTGGAGGGCTCCGGAAATTTCGACCACCTGGGGTTCTTTAACGTGCACCCAAATCTGAGCACACGGGCCTACAACATTTCCGCCTCCATCGGGAATGCAGCCGCCGCAGCCGGGATTCGAACCCGCGCCCTGCGGGTCAGCAGCCGAGTACCTTAGCCACTAGACCACCGCGGCGGGGCGTCCGCTGCCACTAGAATCCACAAGCGACTATGAATACACTTATGAATATGCGAGTCACTACGATTCGTGAAGTGGCGAGTCATTTTCAGTTCAATCCGCTTCGAAGCATGCACCGATTCCGAGATCGACGCCGGACCGAGCAGTGACGAGGCAGCTGGAGACGCACGCTTGGGCCACAGTGACTGGTATAAGACATATGAATGCTGCGCGCGTGTCACTTGTTCGCGATGACCGAAGCTTGAAAAAAAAAACCCCAAGCATTTCCCCGAGGGTGAACATGGTTAAGCGTGAATACACGGGGTGATGCTATGAGGGGTATTTATTAATTCGCACTATTATATTTATTAATCACACTATGATGCCTTTATGGTGTAATGGTTCCTGGGAATCGCAATTTCATCACACGGGGGAGTTTACGGTAACTCACTGGCGAAATGCCAACGGATTTTAACTTTACTCCCCCTCACGACCCGCTCTCGACGGGAGACTGAGAGAGAAGGCGGGCGCGCGAGAGAGAGGGGTGCACGCGCAGCTGCAGCGAGCGAAGGGGGAGGGGGTATAAGGCGCGTTACTGACACCGATATCAGCGTCGCGTCCGTGGCTTATTCGGTAGAGCGTCGCGCTGCGGCCCGCCAAGTCCTCTTTCTTTTAAAGATAGAGAGAAGACTGCGGACGCCGCCGACGGCGGTGGATGGTTTGGGGTCGCTTATAAAGTGTATTCACACTTAATAATCACGCTCACGAATCGACGACAAATCAACCGAAGAGGCGTAACAAAAACGCAGGACTCACACGAACGCGCTGCACGAAGCAAGTGAAGCAAATCAGACGAAGCCTTTACTAGGAAGCCAGGCATCGCTGCCAGACGGAGCCACATGTAGGCACTGCGATGGCAACACTAAAACTATCAGCGTCATCGCTGCTCGCTCGTAGTCACTGAGCGTTTGAGGCGTGGCATAGGAGCTTGCTGAACACGTCAAAATACTTTCGATGCCTCATGGCCGTGAACGCGCCGTTGAGCCCTTGGACGCTGGCTCCTTGATCTCGCAGTAGAATAAATTATTGCGTAACGGTCGTTTTGCAACAAACCGGATATAGGCCACACGGATCCGAGCGGTTTGGGTGTACTATACCAGTCATTGCCATGCGGGCTGAAGCACCACACGTTGCAGCTCCCACAGAAACTAGCGCCACAGTTCCCTCTATAGTGTATCTATAGTAAACACTACGGACCAGTGCGTCTTCGTCTCCGTGTTGCCATACGTCTTCACTCAAGATTTACAAACAAGCCCCGGGTAACAATGGAACTTCACTACATTTCCCTTACTAGCCACCTTTCGAGGACTACCTGTGCCGACTCACGCGTCGTTTCACTACACTACTCACACTACCCATACATGGTGGTCAAGCGTACAAGTGAATGCTTCTAATAGGCAGTTAATAGGGTATACTAGAGTGAGTTCGAGAGTTAACCACAAATACTAAAATTCACTCTTGAAAAAAAAAGGGGGGGGGGACTAGAAGTGGTAGGAAGGTTAGACCTTTTATGGACCATCTTAATTGCCACAACCAGTAATCCTTTTGGGAATGAACTGCAAGATGTTGAACAGTTAGTCTTTCAAGGATTAACTATCACAAGATTAATGGCTGGTTCTGTTAGGACTAACAGTTAATTTCCAGAAATTTTGCGTGACAAGGCAAATGTCGCTGCCATTCATTACCTTAAGATTCTTTTTCAAAATAGATTTCATCCTATGAACAAGGTAAAATACGACAAGAAGCGGATACTTGGGATGCGGGAACACAAGCCACATGAATGGTTTTGATTTCTTCATTGTGTAAGTTGCAGACAGCCTTCGGTGTTCTATCAATTATTTGTTCAAGAAAAAAAAAACACAAATATGTTGACAACTTTATTTATTCTTACGACAACTTCAAGAAAGACAACTACCATCATTTCGTTGGTGTAGGGCTTGTTTCCCAACAACTAGGGCAAGTCCCACCTGAAAAAATACGTAAAAAAATGCAGTAAATATAATGTACAAATATATTGTATAATATACTGCATTAAATATAATGTAGACAGAAGAGGGCGGCTTAATATCACGTAAGCCCTGTGATTGCGCAGTCGCATGCTCATATAACATTCGACGTACTATGATTGAAAATTTTGTTGAAGCGCACTAAAAAAAAAACGGACGGACAGAAGAGGCTGTCAAGGACAGCGCTTGCTCCCACAACTGAAGGTTTATTATTCAGAAAAAGGGTATCTAAAGCGGATACATGATCTTTCGCGCATGTGCATCAGAACAGGGTGCAAAAGAAACCACTCTTGTCAGGATTACAAAAATTGTACATATTATGCATTGTTTGTTATATTTTACAAGTACTAAGTGTCGAGATACGCGTACTCTTTATCATGCAGCACAATCGTAGCTTGGCTAACACAGTCATGTCCCCTCTTTCGGATGTGGTAAGATTCCACTATCTCACGTGTAAGCTGATTCTCGTGTCGAAACAATATTTTTCTACAATTTTTATAATTTCTATAAATATGTACAATTTTCGTAATCCTGACAAGAGTGGTCTCTTTTGCACCCTGTTCTGATGCACATGCGCGAAAGATCATGTATCCGCTTTAAATATTTTTTTTCTCAATAATAAACCTTCAATTGTGAGAGCAAGCGCTGTCCTTGTCAGCCTCTCTTCTGTCCGTCCGCTTTTTAGTGCGCTTCAACAAAATTTTCAATTATGAACATTATCCAAATAGCCCAACCTGCCATCTCGACGTACTATGTTGTTATTTTTCGGTTTTTACGCTATTTATAACGCAGTGTGCCGAGGCAATTACGATGGCAATCTTACCTTCAGAATTAACAGAGGCCCGTTGCTTGCAAAGTCAGAAAATCCAGAAAATATTGATCACACCTTAAGGGGTCGGCGTCCGTTCCAGCCGCTTTGTAGAAAGAAATCTGCGAAGGAGTGGGTCTTACACGTAAGCTGAAATGTCCATTTATCGACGCGCGGAAAAGTGACCATGCTGGGCACAATGAACGGGCGTTCCGCGAAAGCAAACTTGCATGCGCGTCCACAACACAACTGCAACCCCGAAATAAGAGCAATAGATATTACAAGTGACAAACACGTGCCACGCGTTACACTCCAGCGCACGATTCTGAAGAATGAAGGGTGGCGCAGAAGGATACCGAGCATAACTACAGCAACCCGTATTTGCGGCGCACTTATACATCATCCCCGCTTAGCACACTGCCTTCAAGTTTGGTCGACTACTACACAGTATAATTTAGGATTGCTTCGAATACTTCAAAACCGTACGCTAGGTGCAATAGAAAACTTAGGACGTATAGACAAATGCCACTGTACTTACGTCACGAAAATGCGGCGGCACTGTCTTGGTAGGCAAAAGACGCTCTGCCTACCGCAGTTTCTGCTGCGTTTTCAATGGTGCATGCGGTGTTTCTCAGTCAAGCAACGCGAAAAAAAAAAAAAAAACCGTATGCCGACGAACTGCGTCGCGGTTGGATGCGAGTCGCGTCTCACAACTTAGATTTGTTTGTTGGCGCACATCGCAGCCCTCAGCGCTTATGGCGGAAGTTACGTGCGGACGTCGCTATAATTTTACCCATAATGTCGACGTCAGCCTACCCGTGTTTACAAACATGGAATGGATCTATACGGTCAGCACCAAAACATACTATTCAAAAAATAAAATGGTAAGGGTGCATAAAATCCATTCACATAAGCTACTCTTTGAAATCACGCGGCAATTCAAGACTGACAAGCATTCATTCCGTGGTAAATACAATTTAAAAATTACAGGCTATAATTTCAGAAGTAGTATTGTGTCTACACCATATAGTAGAACAAATTACGGGGACCAAAAACTTGCTGTTCAATTTCCTAACCTGCTGAGTGTGCCTCAGCCATAGATATCTTCGATTTCGGAATTAGAAAGCAAGCATATCAAAAATCAATAAAAGAAATATTATTTTCAGAGGGTTAAAGTTACTAAAAGAACGATATGATTCCGAATGAATGTTATGTATTGTTTTGGTTTTTCTTTTTTTCCCACTCCCCGCATGTGACCCACGAGCGCCCTACAGGTTGCTCGAGAGTTACGCGTGCATTTTTTTTTATATTTGTGCTCATGTTTTTTTAGTGCTATATAGACGGTTTCAAGGTCACAAGCATTGTACCCCAGAAAACTACCGGTTCCCTCATTTACCAGCTCCTAACGTTAAAACTGAGAGCACGTATTCAAGTTCCTTATAAATATAAGAAATGTATCTCTATAGTTTTTCATATAAAAGGAATGCCATATTATATTATCATATAAAAGGAATGTAAAAGGAATGCCTGACGCCGATCTTCGACGACAGCGTAGCTCTGGCCTACTGGACTTGCTCTACGCCATCTCCTGACGCCGACAAGAGCTCTCGCCAGTGCTACGGGTGGTCATGCTTACAATATACATTTACCTCACTGCGATTTCTGAGAGCTCCCAAAGAAGCCCGACTTGTTGACCCACACAAAAGGTATCTATCTGAAAAACAAATTTAAGCTAAATTTACGGCATTAAGAAAACGACAGTTGAAGCTGTGGTCGGAACACGCAGCCTTGCCGTCCTCTAGCCACTTCAGAAGCGAAACTTTTGAAGAAGCTTAAAGCGGTAAAAACACCTAAAAACGCAGTATAATACCACCACCTCAAGGCACGCGAAGCAGTCCACTGACCTAAATTTCCCCGAAAAATTGCTGGCCAACGCACGATTGCGCCAGTAGCGCCCTATAGGTTAATTAGGAGATACACGCGAGAAGCAAGACAGACATACTAAATTGTGCGTTAAGTGCGCTTCGTACCGGTGGGTCTGAAAGTACCAAAAATAGAAACAGTTTTCTCGTCCATTTGTTTTGAAGACACTAAGTATCAAATGCATAACTCAGTCCACACCTAAGCCGAAAATGCCGAAATTCACCGTGTGTCCATTCATAATTTCAGGTCGCCACGGGTCTCAAATGCGCCAATTCGGCGAAATGTAGCCACCAGTGGACGCCCTGCCGACTGCCTACCCGCAGGTCACGAAATCCCGGTCCCGGCGACCGCATTTTGGGGGGAAGTGATTATAAATGAAAAGATGAGAAAAGTGAGCCCCGTAACTGTCTCTCAGGGGGAGGACACTTCAAAAGTAGTTCACGAGGGATGGGGGCAGAGAAGGGATTAAAGGGATAGGATTAAAAGGTAGAGAGATAGAGAGGAAGAAGAGAGCGAGGCGCAGGGACAGGGAGCGACGAAAGTGAGGAGAAGACAGGAAAGATGGACACGGTCGGAGGAGTCCGAGGACGGGGCACCACTCGGCGAGAGCTCTTGTCGGGGACAGGAAATGGCGTAGGGCTAATCCAGTCGGCCAGAGCTACGCTGTCGTCGTCGTAGGACCAACCCAGTCGTCGGAGATCGAGAGGGCACACCCGGCCGGCACGGAATCCAGCGAGCGAGTCGCGACCGCATTTCGAGGGCCGTGCACGTTAGAGAAATCTATAGGTGTCAAAATTTTCCGGAGCGCTCCACTACTGCGCTTCTCGTGGTTTTAGGACGTTAAAACCTGAAATTGTTATCGATATTAAGTACCCGGGTAGCGTAGGCGCAAGGTGCCCATCTTAGCAGCTACACGGCTTGCTAAACCTGTGGCTGTCAGTAGCACTGATCACAACCCGTATGCACGCGCACTCCACCCTTTGCACGTGCTGGAGGACGTTTGTGACCGCGCACACGAAGAAAGTGGTCAGCCATCCAGGGCAATCGGCGAAACGAGGCGGGGGAAGAAAGTGTAGCTAGCGAGAAGGAAGAGGCCGCGCAAGAAGCGTATCGCATTCCTGTCAAGGACGAAGCGTCCATCTGCCCAGACGAAACAACAATGAACGGACTCGCGTCCCTTTCTGCTGGAAAGATGGGCCCTGCCTCGCGCACAAAAAAGCGGCCGTCGAGCTTCCTCTGCGAGGGAAAGCAGAACACCGAGTAGAAGGCAGCGCGCGCCATTCATTTCTGGATTTCCTTTCAAACGACTTCCTCTGCCACCCAGTCCTTATAATGAGACACAAATTTTAAATATTTTCGGGTCGCCGCTCTAAATGGAAACACGGGTGCCGAGAACCGTAGAAAAAAAAAAAAAACGTCGCAATGCATGATAATGCATTGAATACATATTTATTACCGCTAACATTAAAACATCAACATCGCAGTGGCGTGCCGGCGAAATCAAGAGAATACCGCAACTCGCGACATACTAGCAACAGCTGCCCCTTCGCTGTGAGTAGCACGCGTAGACAGCGAGTGAATTGTCGACTCTGCCAGCGATATCGCAGTAAACTGTGTTGACCTCTCGTGATGATGTCCATTGCGGTGGGGCTGGCAGGCAGATGCTGTGTGACGTCAAGTCTAGAACTAAAGTAAAATATTGTACAGGCATCGTCAGCCTCCGGTGTGTAAAGAACGTTCATAGTGCAACCACGAAAACGGAAAATGTCTCTTTCGGAATGCCTTAACATCGTGTTAGTATTCCTTTAATCTAATCTTACGGAAATTCCAGGGAGAGACGGCGACTACGGACATAACGACAAGCACGCCACACTATAAAGGCGCAACGCCGAACGGAAGGGATGGAGACGCGAGGAAAGCGTGTTGAGGCAACTCGATCCATGAGGCGCAGATGCAGAAAACCCCTTCCGCGGCCATTTGTTACACCTTAATTGCTTAGGTATACGTACCTGCTAAGGTGCACCCTACACGCAGAAATAGGAGCGAATGAACTGGCCTGATTACAGACACGGAACGGATAGCCCTAGCGCGAAATGCATTCCTTACCAAAATTACCTATTACACCGTCAAATAAAGAATTCCGATGTGTGAGCTGAATGTGTATAAGTGCCAGATTTCGCTTTTATTTGTTTTTTTTTTCTTTCCCGAATGCTTGTTTGCTGATGTACAAATGACTGCATTAACTGTGCTAGTGCAGGTAACCGATTATAAGACACATGCTGGACTTGCAGCTCCGTGCGTGCATGCGCCTGTGTGCGATGCTGAGTATATTTGCTCCACTACGTTATTTAAGAAGCTTTGTTACCATACGCTATCGACAACTCGTCTACCACGAGCGGTATTACGGTTCAGCGTAATCCAGGGGCTGTTTTGCAAGGAGCACTGTCTTCGTGTACCAGCCACTGCTGGGTGGGCGACGAACGCGACAATTGCGACCCTGAATCTACAAAAATTAAACCTTGGGGGCCTTTTCTTTAAAGCGAGCACGCGACGAACCAACTTCCTTAAAAATCGAATATCAAAAGCGTGAAGGTTTTGCTAAACGTTAAACTTATATGGCCACGTGCAACGAAAATTAATTACACGAGACAGAGAAAAAAAAGAAAAGAAAACAGTGCAACAACGAGCGAAGGCGAACTATCATCCACTAATGGTTCCACTCCCGAAGGTGACCACCACACGCGCCGCCCATCGACAAGGCCCAAGCGACACTGTGGAAAGTGTGCAGTTTTCGAGCGGGCCGGTGTCTGCAGCCTCGCGGCGAAACCGGCGGTCTCCGCTTTTTCGGCAACCAGGCCGCAGGGCCTTGAGGCTGCAGCCAGCAGCACGCCCACTGGGACGAGGCGTTCTGTAGTTAGTAAAGGCACAGCCAGGTGCATCGGAGAGAAAAGTAACGTTTTCAGAAACTATATACGTTCGAAACAGCGTCCCGAAGGAAAGCAAACACACTCCGGTAATGAGCCTAACGACCACGGCGCCACAGCGAAGCAGCGGTTTCCTCACCCGGCGTGCACAACTCGCGTCACGTCGGAGCGAGACGAAAGAAAGAGGAGCCGTCTCGGAGGGGTCCATCTTTCTGCAGCGCCGTTGCTCAACCAGCGCGCGCGCACCTCAGTGAGGCGAGA